TTTTAATTTTTAAAAGCCTGGATAAATTACATTTGGTCATCATGTCTCCTTAGGCTCCTGCTGGCATGGTTTCTTCGTTATATTTGATGGTGATCCTGATGGTTTGGAGGAGTACTGGTCAGGTATTTCACAGGATGTCTATCTTCAGGAATTTTCTGTTTCTGGTGACTTGAGTGGAGTGGTGGGCTTACAGGAAGAGGACTCAGAGGTGGAGTGCCACTTCCTCACAGCCTTGCTGGAGTGCACAGACCCCTGTGAGCTGCGATGCGGGTGTCGTCCAGCTTCTCCACCATGGGTGCTTTTTTTTTTAACCCCCTCTTTGTGCTTTGTGAAAGGAAGTCAGCACATAGCCCTCTCCGAAGGGGTGAGGAGCTAGGCTTTCCTCCCAGAGTGAGGAGTATCTACATAAAACATTTGCCTTTCCATATGGGAAATTTGTTCTTCTTTCTTCCACTTATTTATTTATTCAGTCATTCATGTCAGCATGGATTTGTGGAATTTTTTAATACTTTGGGTCATAATTCAATACTAATGTATTTTGTTGCTCAAATTATTAAGCCTAGGCTTGAGGCTCCTTAACTGATTGCTGTGTCCCTTTAACATACCCCAGCATTGTGGGGTGTGAGTCTTGAGCACTTCCTTGCTAATGGCAGTGCAAGATGCCTGGCTCATCTCGTGTGTTTCCTGCCCTGGTCCTGTCAGGGGTCCAGAGTTCTTTTTATTGGGGAATGGTTATAGTAGCCAGGATCTGTGTACTAAGTATTGCCTATAGTAGCCAGGATCTGTGTACTAAGTATTGTGGGAAGCAAGGACACATTGCCCTGTGTCCTTGCTTCCCACAGTCTCAGTAGACAGCAAGGAAGTGGATCCTGGATCCTGGCCTGAGTTTATATACTTCTATAAATGTTTCTGTGTGCAGCCATCTGCATTGATTTCAGGCAAATGTGAATTTATACTGATATTTCCAGCTCTAATCCATAACCACGTGGGTCATTTTAGCCTCCTCTCCCATAAATGTTTTCTGCATTTTTTATTCAGCTATAATCCAGATGCTATAAAATTTACCCTTTAAATTCAGTGGTTTTAGTACATTCACAAGGTTATGTAACCATCACCACTCTCTAATTGCAGGCCATTTTTACAATTTCATAAAGAAACTCTATACTCATTAGCAGTCATTCCCCACTGCCTCCACCTCTGGCAGCAGTGATCTAATTACTGCCTCTGTACGTTTGCCTATTCCAGACCTTTCATTTACATGGGACCATGTATTTTGTGGCCTTTTATGTCTGGCTTCTTTCACTTAGCATGATGTTTCCAAGTTTCCTCCTTGGAAACAGGAGGCATCAGGCATTGTAGCAAACATCAGTACTTCATCTCTTGATAGCTGAATACTGTCCCATTGTATTGGCAGATCACTTTTGTTTATCCATTATCATTTAGTGGGCATGTGGTCTGCTTCCACTTTTTAGCTATTATGAACACTGCTGCTATAAACTTATGTACAAGTTTTTGTGTAAATGTATTTTCTCATTTCTCTTGGGTCCGTACCTAGGAGTGAAACACTGGATTGTGGCAACTGTATACTTCATATTTTGAGGAATTACCAGAGTGTTTTTCCACAATTGCTGTGCCATCTTACGTTCCCACCAGTTCAAATTTCTCCAAAGCCTTGTGAATACTTGCTTTCTATTGGTTTTATTATAGGCATCCTAATGGATATAAAGTGGTTATCTCATTGTGGTTGTGATTTCCTTATTAAGTATCTTGAGTGTCTTTTCTTGTGCCTATTGGCCATTTGTATTTTTTTTTTAGAGAAATGTCTGTACACATCCTCTGCCCGTTTGTTAATTGGATTGTCTTTCTAGCATTAAAGTTGCAAGACTTTTTCATATGTTCTGGATATTAGACCCTTATGATTTGCAAATAGTTTCTCCTATTCCTTGGTCATCTTTTCTTCCTTTCTCCCTTTTCCTGGTAATGTTTTTTGAATCACAAAAGTTTTTAATTTTGACAAAAATGTAGCATACTTACTAATTTATCAATTTAGCCAATTTACCTAGTGTGCTAATTTGGTTGCTTATGCACAAATATTTTTTTAAGAATATGACTATACATTTTTTCTAACATACTACCAAGTTAATCAGTATTTTCTAACAAAGATGATCCTTTATACCTTTAATTTTTCTTTGAACTTTCAATCTTGACATGTTGTTTGAGTTTTTAATTTCACTTTTAATATTAAATAAATAGGGATTTTAAAAAATCAGTAGTTAATTCAGTTTGCCAAAATATTTTATTAGAATTAACTCCTTGTGTTTTAATACTTCATCCTTTCCTCTGCTGAAATAGGAGTAATAATTAGGAGTAATAATTCTGTTAGTGATGATTTGGGAGTATTAAACTCTTAGTCTTTATATTTATAAACATATCCTTATTTTGCCCTCAGACTTAAATGATAGTTAAGCCAGGTATGAAATTTTAGGTTCGTAGTTATTTGCCCTGAGCAATTTGAAGGTATTCAAATTGATTCTGTCATTGCCGAGGTATCTACTCTCTAACTGCCATTCCTGTGTAATATTTTCACCATAATATCTTCTTAAGGTTTTTCTTTTTTCTCTTTGATATACCATAATTTTACTACATTAGATGTCAATATGAAATAATTTTTATGTCTCCTACCTAGTACTTTTTATCTGAGGGCCCACATGTTCCTCCCTTCTGGAAAATTCTCTGGTATTATTTTTTAAAATTCTTCTGTTATTTTCTCCTTTCCCTTTTTCCAGTTCCTCTTAATCATCTGTTGGTACCTCATTCCTCTCCTGACGTTCTTTGAACAGCTTCATATTGCTTGTGTCTGGGTCTCTCTGTTGTCTTCTAGCTCATTTTCCCCATTCTCCATTTTGGTTCACTAATTTTCCTCTTTGACTAGTGTCCAATCTATAATTTATCCCATTTATTGAGGGTTGTTTTTATTTAAATTTTTAATGGATATCTTTTATGTCCACCATTTTAAAATTTTTATTGCCTATTGTTTTCATTCAGTTTTTCCTGTTTTGTTTCATAACATTTTCTTTTTATGGATATTAGTCCTTCATTAAGGATTCTTGGACATCAACATATTGATTTTAAATACTTTCCAGACAGATTCATGTAGTTAATTTCATTTGAAGTTCGTGATGGAAGAGTTTATGGATTGTCTTGTTTAGCATGAGATTGCTTCACGGGTGGTAGAATGTTTTATTGCAGGTTTGATTTGAGGACTAGATATTCTTTTGTTTCTGTTGTTGTTGTTTTTGGTTTTGTTTGTTTGTTTTTCTTTTATTCTCTCTTGACTAACATCTCCGTGTCTGGTGGTTTTGGTCACATAATGGAAGTGGAGTAATATCAGGGACACATGGGTCAGTACATAGATGTGAGCCTGTGTCTGTCCTTCCTGGGGTGGTGAGGAGCCCTGGCCCAATGGTGTGCTGCAGTCACTTCCTGCCAGCTTGTTAGAACCAATTGTTAATTTTATATGTGGGAGGGGGATTGAACCTGGGGCATCACCCATGCTAACATGTGTTGTACCACTGAGCTACACCTCCATTCCCATGATTATTAGATCCTAAGGGATTTTGCAAACTGGTTATTAAACAGCTTTTAATTTAAGAGTAAATTATTTAACTTCTCCATTAAATTACAGTTAGCACTGTGTACTTAACCAACCACAGATCAAAAAATAGTTTTTGGAAAATTACATCTATACTGTACATATACAGATTTGTCTCTTGTCATTCTCCTACAAACAATACAGTATGACTATTTACATAACATTTACACTGTACTAGGTGTTACATGTTATCAGGAGATGCTTTAAACTAAGCAGGATGTGCGTTGATTAAACAAAGACACCATGTGGCTCCATGTGAGGGACTCGAGCATCCTGGATATTGGTATCCCTGGGGGATCCTGAACCAAGCCCCCATGGATATTGACAGACACTTGTAGATTAAAAGGCAAAGGTCATAAATACTCAGAATTCATCACACACTCTAGTTCTTTTGCTACTATGACTTGTCTCCACTGCCAGGGTGGTTTACAGCTTCTGCAGCTGTGTGGTGAAGACACTGTCATGGTGTGATGCTGATCATCTGTCCCTCCCCACCCCAGTTCAGTGACATCAAGTTGGCAACCCAACAACCTTGACTGGAGTATTCACACTGGAAATTCTCAGACCTGGCTAACAGGTCTCCCCACTCACACAGCTTCTGAGCACTGCCCAGCATGCCATTGCCCCATCCCTGAGTGGCCGGTCCTTCCATCTCCTGTAAGCAGAGCTCCCCCACCAGCCTGTGTCAAGCAAAGGCCTGTGTCATTCCCCTTCTCAAGAAGGTGCTTTCCGCCTCTGACCTTCAAGAGCTTAATTCCAGCCACATTTTTGTCTCACTCATACTTTGCCTTTTTGTACGGATATTTACTGTGCTGCTGAGCCTACTCGTGTCCTTTGGTTTTCTTGGGTTTCATCTGTCATGGCTGTAAGTTTGGAGCAGAGGAAGGACATCAAATATTGAGTGAGTTCTGCTCTCTTGATTAGAACATGATAAACATTTTCTGAAGTTTTCGTTATCTTTGCAGTGCCAGGCATTGAACCCAGGCCTCACACGCGATGGGCAGTGTGCTCCACTGAGCTCCCAGCCTATCAGCACTATGGCTGTGCACGCATATCAACTTGGGTTTTCTTCTCTCCTTTGTCTCTTTCCAAAGTCACTCACCTTATCTTTCTTCTCTCATCATGTTCGTTCTTGTCCTAGTTACAATAAACTTATTAATAATACATTGTCTGTATGAATTATCCTTGAAAAGACTCTGGATGTCACATAGGCTGCTTCCTTAATTACACACAAAATAATGTTATGCATTTAATATAACAATGTTCACAGAATAACACACCGGTGCCCCCCACCCATAACCCACATGGGAATCCTGGGCCCCCTAATGTCCTGTTTCCTTCCTTGCAGGTGTCAGAGCTGTGTTCTCAGGCCACTACCACAGGAATGCTGGGGGCACCTACAAGAACCTGGACATGGTGGTATCATCTGCCATCGGATGCCAGCTGGGCAAAGACACCCATGGGCTCCGAGTCGTGGTTGTCACCGCTGAGAAAATTGTTCACCGATACTACAGTTTAGATGAGCTGAATGAGAAAGGAATAGAAGACGATCTCATGGAGCTTATGAAGCAGTAGTGAGCCTCCCTTGGTGGTCTGTCCACCTTCCTCTTCTATAATATTTTGATTTTGTTTTGTTTTTACCAGAATCAGCAGCAGCACACAAGTCAGCCCCTGCTGGAATGTAAAAGTGGACCAGGCAGGGTTGTGAATTTACATCCTTTGGCATAAACCAGAAAGCGGGAGCCCATCCTAAATTATATTAAAATAGAGCTGCCTTCTGTTGAAAAGGAGAGAGGGAGCCTGGAAATAATTTTTAGTTATTATGACATTAGACTGTCTCTGGATGTTTGTGTAAGCTCTCCTAATGGTGTATTTCTCAGCTCTGCTTTTGAATTAGATTGTTTCTGGCAGTGCCTGATCAATGTTTACCTATTGACCTCAGTCCCAACTTGGTATTCACATGTGATCTTTGATAATTCCTTGAACAAACTGCATCTGATTATATTAAATTGTGGTCATGACTCCCCAAAATGCTAGGCAAAGCAAAGGTCATCTCCTTCCCTTTCTGGCAAAACAAAAAGCTGTCTCTCATATTACGAGCCATGGAGACTTATTTTAACAAGGAGTCGAGTACCCCTTCTCTCTGTTAAATTCTAAGACTTCTGGTATTGCTGACAGTAGAACCAGAATACAGTCAGTACACATCAGGACTTGAGTTGGCCTCCCTGGTGGCTCCAGAAGTCACCTTTGCACATACATTGCCATTTACGAAACTCATCCAGAAGACGAGCACCGAGTCATGTGAGGTCATCCACAGCCCCTTGTGTTCCTCCACATTCGCACTTGGTGCTGCAGTGGGTCTGCAGATAGGTGTTTCGTGAGACCGGAATGCCCCGCAATTAATGAACCTCTTAATTGCATCTGCCTCAACAGAAAAATTGATGCAAAGATCTCAGAAGAAACAAACCAGAAATTCTGGTGGGGCCAAAACAGTGTGTCTAGCCACACCACATTGACACTGACTTCGATTTGGTGCAGCAGGCAAGTACCCTTGACCAAAGAGCCAGGCTGCCTAAAATGAGCATCCTTTTCCCATAATCTGCTCTGCTGCATCTTTGCACTACTCCTGGCCACTGTGTACTTTCACCCACATATTCTTTCTCAGCAGTTGGCCTTGTAGACACATAGCCAGGTACTCCAAGTTCTGCCAGGGAACTTTTATAGTACTCTGCAGTAGCATTTAACAGTCCTGAACTGACTTTAAAAACTGACTGGTTACAAATGAACTGCAAAGTCCATTAAATTAAAAAACTTTCCTGTTAAAAAGTTTTAGTCAATGTAGCAAAACTGTGAGAAATTAAATAGAAAGATAATTGGATATGTAAATTCATAAGGAACAAAAGACGAGAAGTTAATTATGCCACACATTGGTGACACAGCATAGCTCATTGTTATGCAGCACAAGAAAATTGAAAAATATTCAAAACTAGAATGCTCTTGTAGTGTTTTGCTGCATTCTTGTTTTGTGTTCATTTTTCTTTACAACAGATGTGGATAGAAGGTCAGAAGGTGAGTTCAACCTGGGACATAACTTGTTTGAGACCTGGGACCTGGGGACTCTTAGACTATAAACACAGGGGGCTTTGACTCCCCAGGAAAAATGGGAAGAGTCTGATCACAATGGACTGTAGTCTTGTTCTCCGTCCTATTCCATGTGCTGAATGGGGGAGATGTAAAGTAATGGGCAATGATGTAAAGTAGTGGACATGCAGCTTGGTAAATCCCCATCCCCAAAATTGGATAAGTAGAAGAACTGGTTCACAACACTCCAAGCATATATGCTAAGTAAGAGGAGTACTGTGAAATCCCCACTATCTTTCAAGTTAGGAGACCACGAGTCCCACAGTGGTGAAACGTTCATCATGAAGTCAGGAAGTATCCCCATGGTGCACATGTGTCCACATACCAGATAATTGATTGTCAATTCACTTGGAATATAAAAATGAAGGAAGAACTGTGTGAGAAGAAAAAACAGATGCTTTGTCCTCTGAAAAATAATAAAAGGCTTGACGAGCATGTGTGCTGTTGTTCTGGGTATTTATGTGTTTCGGGGGCTTTGGTTCAAAAGGGTGGAGCGTGTGGCCCAGGCCACCAGCTCAGCAGTGGGAATGGACCAGGATGCAAGCAGTCCACCTCTGCAGCCCACGCTCCTTCACTGCCCTCTCCTTGGAGAATGTCTTTTACAGCCAAGCAGTTGGTACCTGCTCAGCCGCGACACACACCACTGTGTTCAGGGCCCTGACCACCTTTCCTGGGCAAGAATCCAGCATCAGCTGGAGGCCTGGGATTTCACGCTGGGATCTGCGGAGCCCAGACCAGGCCCAGAAGCCCTTCTCTGGTTATACCAGATTAGGGCGGCAGAACCTGAACAAGGAACAGATGGTTCCAGGCAGAGAATTTGGCCAAAGGGGACAGAAGTGAACCATCATGGGTCACAGGGCATAGCGCCCTCCACAGTAGCAAGTGCTCTAGCCAGCAAAGCTTCATTTCTCACTCTGGTTTGGATATGAATGTGGTTTATCCCCAAAAGGTTTATGGTTGTAAGCTTGATTTCCAGTCTGGGGACGTGAAGAGATTGAGACCTTTAAAAGGTGGGGCCTAGTGGGAGTCCCTAGGTCATTGGGGATGTGCCTTGGGAATACTGTTGTGCTCCCCCATCACTCCCTGGCTTCCTGTCTCACCATGTGATCTTGCCCTCGCCTTTGCTCTGCCTAGAGGGATGCTGTCTGCCACGAGGGCTTCACCAGAGCTAAGCTGATGTCACCAGGCTGATGCCTGTGCCACGCCTTTGAATCCCCAGAACTGTTGGCTAATAAACCTCTTTTTAAAATAAAGCTGCCGCGGTCTGGCTGGGCACAAAATCACGAACCACTCACACCTTGTAGATTCAAACAGCAACTCTTTATTCCCGAACTCACACCGGCACTCTACACACGTTCTGTGCAAAAGCCACGTTCTGAATCCCAAATACTCTCTGAATCCCAGGAGAACTCAATGGGAACTCAAGGAGCGGGCGTGCCTGAGGCAGCAGGATACGCCCTATTCCCAGCAGGGTACACCTTAAACCTGGAACCGCCCTAAACCCAAGGAGCAGGATACTCCCTAAAACCTGATCCGCCTTAAACCCGGATCCGCCCTGGTCCTTGAGCAAGGTCACCTTTCTCAAGCATACATGCAATGTCACTGCAAATGACCTGGGTCCAAAGGCAAGCCCATTTCCACAATGGAGAGTCCTTCCTCTAAGCAACATGGAGTAGGCTGACAAAGAAATTGCCAGGCGTCATTCCTACTTGGCAATGGCTCTCAGCATCAAGCACCTAGCCTCAGGTATTCCTCTATGATGATAGAAACAGACTAATACACCCTTTGTGTATAGTTCCCATGTCATGTAAGAAACACCAGCTCTCTCCCACTTCTAGTGAATCACTTTAATTGTAAAAAACAAAGGGCTGCTAAAAGGGGAAGGCTTATTTAAGGTGATCTCAAATTGGATTGTCGAGACTCAGAAAAGTGAGTTTGTGAATGAGGGTGGAGTGATGACCATCTAACTGCATTTACTTTATTATTTTTTTAATTTTTATTATTATTTTTTGGTACTGAGGATTGAACTGAGGGGCACTTTACCACTGAGCCACATTCCCCAGCCCTTTTTATTTTTCATTTTGAGACAGGGTCTTGCTATGTTGTTTAGGGTCTCACTAAGGTGCTGAGGCTGGCCTTAAACTGAAATCCTCCTGCCTCAGCCTCCTGAGTCGCTGGGACTACAAGTATGCACAAGCACACCCAACTACATTTGCTTTTTACAGATAAATTCAACTCTTCTGTCATGTTTCTCCTAAGGTTGGGGAAAAGAGGGTTGTGAAATCTAGTAAATTGTAACCAGCAAGTGGAACACTTTATCCTATCTTATGATTTCTTGTGATTTTCCATATTATGAGATTGTCAGGCACTGACAGAAAGTTACAAAGCAAACACTAGTTTTAAGCCTGAATAGATGAATATGAGCATTTGCCTCATATACCTGTAAAAGATGCTGAGATGTATGCAACTGAGGAAACCATATAAACAATAATAGAGTTTAATATTATAGCCCGCGTTCTAACAAAGTCTTTGGAGAAAAGATAATCAAAACATCGAGTACGTTTACTTGAGCTCTTTATTGATTCTTCAAGTAGTGTTTCACACAGTTCTATGCAGTCTCAAAATTAACTAGCAATATTGTATTGGAAGGATTAGTAATAAATCGTCAAGGCACATTCTATTAAAAGCCTTCTGTAACAGACACCAGGGATTACTTATTCAGATAACCTTAACAGTTTGGGTTGTATATGGAAGAGATAGTATTTGACAGGTAGTATTTCTGTACAACTTCATAAAATACTGTCTTATGCCACTGCAGAGGTGTGTGTGTGTGTGTGTGTGTGTGTGTGTGTGTGTGTGTGTGTGGTGTGTGTGTAAAAATGGGGACTCCTTTTTCATAATAATGACTTAGAGCATTTTTATAGAAAATACTGACTAAATTTTTTTTCTCCAATTGATTTTCATTTCCTTTTTAAAAAAAGCATTAATAATTTCATACACACAAATACATACAAATTTGATCTTTCCCTTAGGTTTTGTTTTTTCTATGTAAATAAACTTGATTGAATAATAATGCTACCCTTCGTTATTCTGTTCTGACAGTTGTCTTTAACTAAAGTGAGCCTCTTTATTTTGGGGGACTCTGCACCACACTGAGAACAGAGTCCTTGCTGTGACTCACAGGCCCCACTCACGCGGCCACCTGCGCACCTCCCAGACCTCGTGTCCTGCCACCTTTGCGGCCTCTGCACCTGCTACTTCCTCTCTTGGGCCCTGGCTTCTCACTACCATGTTGATCCCACTCAAGGTCACCCTTTCCCACACCACCCAGCCAGAGTTCTGCCACTGGTCCCCAGGCATCACTGCCCATCTCCTTGTCTATTTTCTTCATAGCACGTCCACTAAGAAAGGTGCTTGTGTTGTGATCTTTAAAGGTAACCTTGACCAGGATGCGAGCTCTGGTCACCAGGGACCAAGTCTGTGTCATTTGCCTCTGTGTTCCCAATGCCTAGCCCATGCCTGAGGGCAGAGAAGGGCTGCCACAAAACACTGGGCAAAGATGGTGGAATAAGGTGACTAGAGCTGTGTGACGTGGAGTCACATCCAGTTATCAACAGGAGCCCTCAGTCTCGGGGACGTGGGACTGGAGACTGGACCATGTTCCTAAGCTGTGTATACAGACAGAGTGCCCCTTATCTAAAAGGCTTGGCCCACAGTGTTCTAGAGTTCAGATCTCTGTTGGATTTTAGAATATTTGCATAGACTTTCCTGGTTGATCATCTCTAATCCAAAAGCCAAACTTTAGAGTTTTGAATTTTGGAGCATTATGAATTGGGGGTTTTGAGATTTGGGATGCCTAACCTATAGTTCTTTGGGAATTGTCATCAAAGTTAGGTATTTTAATAGGTCAATAAATTCTTAATAGCATTGCTATCTTTGATTCTCTGTTCACTGTGGTGAAATTGGAGAAATAAACAAGTATCCTTGACTCCTAATAATCCTAAGCCTGGTTCGCTGAATGAGTGCTGTGAGCCAGAAAAGCAGGAGAGCCAGAGACGGGGCTGACTCCAGAGTAAAGGTGACAGGGAGCTCGGAAGAGAGTGAGGGTGTATTTTGGGGGTGCTGCCCAGAGAAATTACATGGGTGGATACAGTTCTTGGGGAAATTAGCACTGCCAGAGACCTGCGGACAGCGCCGTGAGGCAGAGTGTTAGGGAGCGTCTCGTTCAGGCAGAAGAGGAGAAAAGGGGAAGCCACAGAAGTGAAGGAGAATCTGGAAACGTCAAGTGGGAGCAGCTCAGCAAAGAGGGAAAGGAATCGGCTCCATCTGCAGTTTGGTCCCCTGAGACAAACCTCTCCTGCAGGTTATGTCCCTCTGGCTCAGTGATACAGCATCCCTGGGCTCAATCCCTAGTACCGGAAGTAATAACAACATAATATTATATGTGATATATACATGTATATATATACACACATACACACATAATACTACTGTAACATGTATATGCAATATGTATTATTGCTGCCTTTATAAAGGAGATCCTGCCATTTGCCACAACATGGATGGACCTGGAAGACACTATACTAAGTGAAATAAGCCAGGCACAGGAAGAAGAATATTGCATGACCCCATTTATATGGGAAATATGAAAAAAGATCAACTATAGAATAAAACTGATTCCCAGGGTCAGGGTGGGGGTTGGGAGGCAATGGGGAAGTTTGGTCAAATTTATAAAGTAGCAAATGGGCAGGATATAGGACCTAATGTAGGACATGAAGATTGTAATCAATAATAGTACACTGTGTTGAGGATTTTTGCTAAATGAGTATTACAGCTGTTCTTGCCACAGGGTGGTGAGATGATATGTTAATTTGTTTTACAGTAGTAAACAAGTTTGTTATATATTTATTTTATAACATCAAATTGTAGACCTTAAATACAAGGGATGATAAAGTTTTTAGCAAATCTTGCCATTGCTTAGACCAAAGAAACTAAAGAATGAAGACCAGGTCACCAGACAGCAAGTGAAGAATCCAGAGGGGAGAGGGCTGGGGATGCAAATGCCCTGATTTTGCACAGGAACTTCACACTAATCTCTGGCTTTCCCCAAAGGGTGTCTGAGCCCAACAAGCGCAGAAATAAAATCTTAAAGAATTGAGTCAAGGTTTGACCCCTGCCGAGAGCCAGGAATAGCTCTAATCAAGTCAATTGCCCACTGCAGCAGATACCTCAGTGTTCTTCAGAGGAATATAACAGAATCCAAATTCTACACAAATAACATTCACAATGCCTGAGACCTCAAATTTTGACGTGCAAAAATAAAAAAGGAACAAAAATGGAAATAACTCTCAAAAGAAAACCAGTCAAACCCAAGATTCCCCAGAAGTTGAATTATTTCATTCCAGGGCAGTAGAGCATCTACTCTGATAATCTTGAT